CTGCGGGCCCGCCAACAGACCTTTCGGAACGAGTCTTTCAGATCGTGAGATGGATGAAGCTCTACGATGACGAAACGGGCATCGTGTCTGGGGTAGAGAACAGCACAGATCGTCTAGTTGCCCGAGCGTTTGGAGGATTGACCTGGGTGTTTGGGATGCAGCGCACGGACCTTGCATCCGTCCTTATGACCACAGATTGATCGTTTTGAATTCAGCAACCTTCATTCAACGTCGAGGATTCCTTAAGAAACTTGCGCATCAATTGCACGCCTCTCCATGGCGCCTATTGATTATTCGAAATGGGAGAACATAGATACCGATTCCGAGCCAGAAGCCTCGCAGCAGCAGGCGCCCATGGTGAAAGCAAGCCGATCACTTGATCCAGTCGTCCCGGGGTCGGCTGCGTCACCCTTAACGACGGCACAGAGCGCGTCAGGGTCTATCCAAGCCGTCAGTGCGGTGTGAGGTTGAGAAACGCAAATTTCCGCCTTGGTCTACCATCAGGATCACCGAAGATCACCCTGTCTTCTCGCGGCCTGTGCCTGACGTCCCAAGGCTCATTGAGGTTCCGGTGGTCCTGTACCGGGTAGGCACTCAGTCCAGCAACCAGGCCGACCTTGACAATCAGATTGCCACGTACCTCAACATCGATGCCGATTCCGGGTTTGCGCTCCCGGAGTGGCAGTCACATGTCGGCACTATTGTCGTCGCACGTAAGGACAGGAAGTCGCTGCTGCCGCAGCATCTTGAGGGCGTGTGGATGTACTGCGATCGCATTCTGGACCTCTTTGGTGAGGGTGAAGGCGCGCCGCGAATGCTGTACAGCCAAAAGGCCTTTGAAGATTGGTGGACGGGTTATTGCGAGGAACAGAAGCAGTTCCGGCTGGGGAAGGGAGGCGAAGAGGATGCGGATGACTGGCGGGCAGTAAGGTCACCTTATGATATGTAAGAGGGTCGTGTATCGTTGTTGGAGTGATTTCAGATTTCAGCATTGGCCGGGGTGGGGCAATTCTCGGAGTGATATTGCCTATTTCTGACGATTCTGGCCTCGTAGTGCCGTTTTGTTTCTGCGGCCAGCTTCGTGAGTCTCTGCATGGCCTGAACGATGGTGTGATCTAGTTTATTTCCGATGAAGTCATGGTGTCGTACAGGACTGAGAAGTTCAATGCCTTGAAGTGTCGTGCACCTGGATAGCTGTACATAAAGACTGGTGAAGTCACACTTGGAAGGTTCGCCATTGATGATACGATTCCCTCGCAGCTGGAGGAGGACTTCCGCGAATGTCTTGCCCTGCGCCTTATAGTCAGTGAGCACAACAGCGGGGACGACGGGCAAGCCGCGGCGGCTGCATTTTGCAGGCAAGAACCTGAAGTTGCGGTTGGACGGATCGAGGGTTTGTGAGACCGAGCGAACAAGGATTGTTTCTGGTGGCAGGGCGGGGATAGACAAGCCCTTGGTATCTTTAGACTGTAAGAGGATGCCAAGTGGTGGCCCGAAGTGGATAGTCACGTCGTCGGCAAGGTGGTATCCTGGGTACTTTGGGTCGGGTATGAAGTCGGCGGCGACAAACTCGGCCCCGTTTACGACCTTCAGGCCGGTGTAGATGTTCTGGTTCACAATCACGGGCATGCCTTGGGCATAGAAAAAGACACCAGGAACCTTGCAGGTGGAGTCATCCCCTTGCTCGATAGTCCTGGCGATTTGATCTTGTGACAGCGTGCCACTTCGCCACGTATGTGCGGAGATGAAGATGGAGATATGTCTCTTGCGAGAGCGAGCCCAGTCGACGACGGCTTCCATGTTGAGTGACCAGCGGTTCCGGTTCAGCGGAGTTATGGCACGTAAGCCCGTACTGAAGGTGATTTGGGCGCGGTCGACGAGTTTTGTGTTGAGCATGAGTAGGTCCTGCTGTGTCTGGGCTCCAGCCCGTACTCTATCGAGAAGAGCGCTCAGTTGAGGATCATCTCGCGCACGAACCTGCTCTTCGAGAAGTACTACCGTTTTGAATATCTGCCACAAACTGAAGCCGCGATGGTGAGAAATGGTTCCCTGTCCCAGTGGGATGGAAGAAGGGTTCATCGTCTTGTTCACCAGGAGACTTGTCTCTCGAACTGGAGCGAACTGGTAGAAGTCCCCCATTAGGAGCACGACGGGAATCCCGCCGAAGGGCTTATCGGCACAGTCTCGGAGTGACTGGAGGTTGCGGCTGACCTCATAAAGGGTGGCGCCTCCGAGCATGCTGACCTCATCTGTCACAAGAACCAGTTTTTGTTTCCACGTCCACTTTTTCGCCTCGGAGAAAACTGGGAGTTGTGTTTGGGGGGAGCGGTGGGTGTCAAGTCCGCAGGCAGAATGCAAGGTTGTGCCGCCGATCTGGGCCGCCGCGCTCCCTGACGTCCCCGTGATCTGAAGAAGATGTGATTGGCCTCTCGTCAAAAATACCCATTTCAAGGCATCGATGACCCTGGATTTGCCCGTACCCCAGGGCCTCCGGTGTACTGGAGATGTTGACCCGCCGAATCGGGGTCGGCGGAGTACTTATCCAAGAACTCCCACACAAGCTGGAGCGCCATTGTCTGTAGGGAGTTGAGGGTAAAGCCTGACGCGGCAAGGCGTCCTAGTTCCGCGAAGCCCGTTGCATGGTTGACGTCGACGAGCATTCGAGGGCCCTGTTCGACTAGCTCTGGACGTGGACGTGGCATGGAGATGTCCGCCTCACAGTGTCGAACAAGGATGTCATCCAGGTCGTCGGTGCTCGTAGTGGGTGCGGCTCCCTGGGAGCCACTCTCGATTTCATCTAGCATGCGGAGATGCAGCATACCCTGGGCCTTTGCTGCGGCCTGCACATCTTGATGAGAGAGAGTCGGGTATTGGGATAGCGCGCTATCCTGGGAACGGCGAATTTGCTGATAGAAGTCCTGATGACGCTGCACGAAAGGCCGCTGCTCTTCTGCAGGGTTTTCATGGCGTAGATCCCGGACCAGGCCCTGTAGTACTGGCGAGTCCCTCGTGGCTTCTGAGTTTCGCACAGCGTTGTGTATGGCTTGGAGGAGCGCTGCGTAGTTTTGTTGATGTTCGGCCGTTGTTGCAGGCTCTTCACGATAGTCGCCCTCATCAAGAGGGAACTCCACGTCGACCGTATCATCACCTTCCGACCTGCTGGCCCAAAGCTTTGCGTCTTTCCGCGCATCCTCCGCCGATCTTCTCAGAAGGGAGATGTGGAGGCGTGGGATCGCAAACGGGGTGGGAGTGCGGCGGCGTGGTTCGTCCATATGTCGGTGATGTCCCCGTGAGTCTTGGAGAGGAAGTCATCCCAGGGCACGAACAAGGCCAGGTGGAGGACAGAGTTTCTAGGCAGGTCAGTACTGGCTTGGAATCAGCATGGCGGGCTTCGGAGGATACCGCCTAAAGTAGACTGGGTGCTCGTCTTTGTGATCGTCGCTGATGTATCCCTAGAGGATTGGCACCGCGTACTCGAGGGGTTTTCGAAGCTTCTGGATCCAATTCTCAGATTCTTGAGAGGGACCGTGAAGAGCAAAGTGGGTCTCATCCTCTTCTCGGTCGCGACGACGCTCGAGGCTAATCATGGATATGTAGTCATACAGGCATAGACCTCTGAGAAGCGGACCTCGGTAGGCGTAGGCATCCAGAGACAACAACGTCCGACCGCTTTCTCTGAGGCCTATCGTCTCAGGTGGCTCGTCTGTGTCAGTGTCCTCTCCAGACTGGCGACGAAGATGCAGCCATCGTCGGAAGATGGACCAATACAGGGCTGTGAGGTTGATGAAAGACCATCGTGGCACGTTGGTAAAGTCGGTGTGGAAGCCGAGCAGGTGGTAACAGACCTCCACGGCCGAGAGCTGTCTATCCGAAAATATCCGATTTGCCGTCCTCATTAAAAACTGTCGGGTTTGGTTGAGAACGGCCGAGGCTTGAGCGTCACGCTCTGGAGCCGATGCCTGATGCGTACCATCTGCTGACTGGTGTAGATGTCCCAGGACTTCGCCTGCGATGACGATGCGCTTCCACATCGGCGTATCTAACTTGGTGGCGTAATTCGTGATGTAAAAGATCATGGCCAGCCCCTTGGTCCTCGTCAAGATCATTGAGATGTCGTGGTTGTGGCGGAGCCCGACCGCCATGGGCTTGTTGTACCGGTTCACCAGCGGATGGTTGCGGCGGGTCTTGAGCAGGCCGTCCTCCGAGAAGCCCGTCTCCTGGACAATCTTCCACGGCGCTTTGAAACGGCAAGCCGTCCGCCGGTTTTTTCCCCCATCCTCTCCGGCCGTCCCCTTCAGAGAGTACTTGATGCAGGTAAAGGTGTGGGCATGAACCTGGCTGCAGTACGCAATGTAGTTGGACTCGGCCTCAAAGGCGGTCGTAAGAGCTTCGGCGCTGTTCATCATCTCCTCGACAGGCTGGATTGGTTTTCTTTCCTTCCGGATCGCCTGTCCAGCCTTCTCATCCAGGCATTCGTGAAAGACAGAGTCAACATAACGAGCCACTCGGGCCCGGTACTCCTCTTCCTGGGGATCAGCCATGTCGTCGCAGAGCGATGGCAATTGCAGATTCCCGTGGAGCCAGAGCAGTCCATGCAGGTGGAGGCTGCCTCGGTCATTCGTTTCTACCGTTGCATAATAGTGACTGATTTTTCCAAAAACTGATTCCTTGCCTGCTTTGACGTAGTGGTCGAAAAACAGGGAAATCTCACGGTGGAAGAAGATGACGGAGCTGACCGGATCCAGAGTGCTCAGGGCGATCCTGTCATACCGTCCTTGAAGATCGGTGAGCAGCTCCTTCGCCATGTCGTAATCATGTAGCCTGTGGATTGAGAGTCTCATCTTGACGGGGTTGTTGATGTCGTTAGGGTTGATGGTAAACCAAATCGCAGGCGTGCCCGTCCAAACGATGAGTGACTGTATCTTCCTCCGCATCAGCAGCCGAGTCTCATTCGAGAGAGGTTGGGCGTGCCCAAAGATGGATAGCTCTCGGAGCAAGAATTATATGTCGGGGTCAGTCGTCGTCCTGTTCTGGCGCATCTCGTCCTCGGCTCTTCTCAGTTGGTCCGCAGTCAGGCTTTGATAGACTTGTTCGGCTCTGTCGAAAGAACCCTTTGTCATGCGGACCATGCTGATGCGGCGGTTGGAAGATCGGAGAAGGATGTTGAAGACCAGGAAACAGAACACGGGATGCGTAGCAAACCGGCCGCCGTGTCGCTGGAGCACGTACTTGGCCCAGTAGCTGAGTGAGTGGTTTGGAGGAGGGGTTTGGACAGGCTCCGAGGCACGTTGTTGGTGCTGTTCTGTGTCGGGCGTCGCCTTCGGGCCGCCTTTTCCCCACGGGAAAAGCTTAGGGAACGTCCTCGGGAAGAAGTCTTCGTGCAGGTTGTCGGCAAAGTCGGAGCCCCGCTCCACGCGGATGAACGGCTGTTCTCCCGCAGTCTCTACATCTATGCCGCATGGCTGAGAGTTCTCGTCAGCTCGGTGTCTGTCCGTTTGCATAGCATCTACTAGGAAGGATAGCTTGGCGGCCCCCGAGAACGTGGCAGGCTCGTCAAGAGGGAACATGCCGGAGGATGATGTCTCGTAGACGACATCGCCGCTAGGATCGGTATGGCCCTGGCCACGAACAGCAGTAACGGGCTCTCCAGGTGACGTCTCGAAATGGTGGTGCTCCTCGGCATGAAGTTGCGCAGAGTCGAGAAGTTCTTCAATACTTGTAGACTGGTTTTCCGGTAACCCCCTATCGGTGGCTGGGACGATGTGGTCCGTCTGCGTCTTTTCAGCAATCGAAGGCTCTTCTCGTCGCATCATTTCAAGGATGTCGGTAGGGACGTTGGAGCTATCCTCGTACCGCCAACCGTCTATCTCGTCATGGTTGATCGCGACGTGCTTGTAGAGGGGGTTGTTCTTCTGAAGCCATACCAGAGCATCCCTCACAACGGTCTTGCGGACTTGAAGAAGATGGCCGACGTCTGTAGGGCTGGGCTTGCTTGAGCCGCTCCAGGAGACGTGGATGTTTTCGATCGCCTCCAGTAACGGATGGGGAAGTACTGTCGCGACAAGGTCATCGACCTTGTTCGGAAACACAACGATGTGACCCTTCACGTGTTTCCTATGATTCAGGCCGGAAGGAGCCTTGTTGTCGACGGTGAACTTTGTAATGTACCCGAAAGGAGCCTGGAGGGCGATCAGTCTTTCCTCGACGGGGGAGAGGTCATCAAGCTCTTTTGGGTACCGGTGCTCGCATCCGATATGCATATTGTTGACTGAACAGGCCTTAGGTAGTTTTCCGTTCTGTAGACCAGCGCGACACTCGCGGCATACGCCAACCCAACACTCGCCGTCTTGTGGCAGGCAATTTGCGCACAGCTGAAGAGCCCTCGTTGCTTGCATCAAGGACGGGGTCAACTGGCTCTGCCACTGGATCGTCGAGAGTTCCCCAGGAGCTGACTTCCTATAACAGAAGACGCAATGAGCAATCGGTAGGGTCTTCTCATCCGTGAATGCTCGGTAGAATGACTTGGCCGCCTCCACTTGGACGGCAAGCGGGACCTCGTTGCACCAGGATCTTGATACCGACGCCTCCTCTTTATCGCGAAAGCAAGTCTCATAGTGTTGCAGA